CTTACAGGCAGCCGCTTGTGATCGCGACCAGGAGCATCAAGGGCTGGCATCGTGTGCTTGCCAACCACCAGTCAGATTGAGTTTTCAGAAGGTGGGGTTAAAGGCATGCATCCAGAGGCTCGACTGGCAGCTTTTGCTGTTTCCTCGTCATATCTTGTGTTTGTTGTTCTGCAAATTTCCAGTCCGAGGATAGACGACATTTAATGTCCGCATGGTGAAACGGGTGTCCTTTAGAGACGACTACTGCCTTACAGGCAGCCGCTTGTGATCGCGGCCAGGAGCATCAAGGGCTGGCATCGTGTGCTTGCCAACCACCAGTCAGATTGAGTTTTCAGAAGGTGGGGTTAAAGGTGCGCAGCCAGAGGCTCGACTGGCAGCTTTTGCTGTTTCCTCGTCATATCTTGTGTTTGTTGTTCTGCAAATTTCCAGTCCGAGGATAGACGACATTTTCGCATGGTGAAACTGGTCTCCTTTAGAGACGACTAATGCCTTACAGGCAGGCGCTTGTGATCGCGGCCAGGAGCCTCAAGGGCTGGCGTCGTGTGCTTCGGGTTTTACTTCGGGACTTAGGAGAAAGCGTTGCAAAAGCACGTCGAAGCCATGTCTTTGGCGATCTGGGTGAGTAGGGAACGAGGGAAGATGTTATGTCTGCAGCACATAGGAACTGTATATATCCCTTACTCCTTGCCAACCACCAAAGGCATGCATCCAGAGGCTCGACTGGCAGCTTTTGCTGGTTCGTCGTGGTGAAGCCTGCCTCCTTCAGAGGCAGGTGCTTGTGATCGCGGCCAGGAGCCTCAAGGGCTGGCATCAGATGCGCGGGAGGGGTGCTTCGCGTTTTATTTCGGGATTTAGGAGATGATCAAAAGACCCAGAAGAGTAAAGGGAGGGCTGAGAGGTCAACCAAACCCAAGAGAGATTTGTTGGTCAGCCTCCCGATCGCAGCTGCTGCCTGAAACCTTCTCCTTAAACTAGGCCTTCCCTGTCCTCTTGCTCGTGCCTTAAATTTAGTTGAGCTTATTTTAGCAAAGATGACGCCGTGTAAACCCACCCCGAAACTCGTCCAATGCGGGCAAGAAGCGCGGAGCTCGAGGATGCCTCTGTCTGAACAAGATTCTCAACAGTGGACAGGAGCGTATTGACCTGCTGCCTAAGTTTGGCAGAAAAAATAATGCAAAGAATCTCGTCAGGTCCTGCGGTGTCCATCCTTGCAGCAGTTGCAGCAGTTACGGAACCTTGCTAGAGGTTCCAAACATGAGGACTTCTCGGTACACGCAGGGGTCACTCGTGCATGTAGAATGCTGCCCAACCGATGTTTCGGATCAGGCCTTTTGAGGCTCATTGTTCCCAGATGCTGGACCTTCGCATTTTCTATCTGCACCATAGATTAGAGTGTAGTCCAAGTATATCATTGAGTCTGCAGCGGTGTTGCCCTTGGATACTGCGGCCTTCTGAGCCACACTATCCGAGAGCGCTGAGTTCTGCCTGGCCACTTTTGAGCCTTTATTTACTTGCTTTAGGGTTTAGGGTTTAGGGTTTAAGCACCCCATAAGCCCTAAGCCGTAGGCCCTAAGCCGAAAACCTTAATCAGCCTAAAGCTCTAAACCCGGCGTAAGGCCATGCAAGCTTATAAGCCCTAAGCTTTAGGCCCTAAGCCCTAAGCCCTAAGCCCTAAGCCCTAAGCCCTAAGCCCTAAGCCCTAAGCCCTAAGCCCCAAACCTTCAGCCGTAAGTTATAAATCCTAAGCCTTATAAGCCCGAAGCCCTAAGCTTCAAGCCTTAAGCTTGAAGCCCTACGCCCGAAGCCTTTAGCCCTAAACCTTGAGCCCCGAGCCCTAAACGCTAAGGCTTAAGCTGCTTTAAACCTTAAGCGAGAAAACCTGCCAGACGTCATGGACATGTGTTGTCTAAGTTGTGTGTCTGCTTGTTGGATGGTGATGGAGCTGTCGACTCGTGGCCCTGTTCTGGACAACAAACTAGTATTTCTTCATATGTAGATATACCGATCTACACCTATACACATATAATTCATATAATACTTGACATTTACGCTGTTTATGCTTATGTGGCCATCTGGCCATCCACGACTTATTTACTCACAAATAGGGTAATTGTACGTGGATGGTTTATCTTTTACGCTACACTCTCACGAAGTCGAGCAGGCATGGTTCTGTACATTGCCTGCTGAGTCTTCATAATGGCCGGGAACCCGAACACAGAGGGAGAGATGCCCACAATCCTAACGCAGACCAAAACCCTAAACCCTAAACCCCAAACCCTAAACCCTAAACCCTAAACCTAAACCCTAAACCCTAAACCCTAAACCCTAAACCCCAAACCCTAAACCCACAATGCTAACACAGACCAAATCCAGGGCCCAGGCTGGTTGGCCTAAAACTTCTTAGGCGCAGCGAATAAAGAAATTTAGCACTCTCACCGCTCTCGCCGCCCGCACCCGCTCTCACACCCCCCACAGCCCATGCCCTTTATCCCCTACCCGCTACCCCGCCCTCACCGCCCTTACTGCTCTCACCGCCCCCACCCCCCTCACCCGCTCTCACACCCCCCACAGCCCATGCCCTTTATCCCCGCGTTACCCCTACCCACCCTTCTACGGTTTCGAGTTTGGCTTTAGGGGCCTTTTCTGCGCAAGATTGTGCCTCCAGCTCTGTTGGCTACCGGGATTCAGAATGGAGGCCGGGTCCCAAAGCTCCTCGGGAGGCCTTTTTGGGCTTTACAGTGACCCTTCAAAATCACCAAGACGTCTTCCGGGTCGAAGGGGTCTCTGTCTGGTGCTTGATAGGGAATGGGGGAATCGGCTATAGAGACTACTAGAAGGGACCTTAAGGGACTATCATGGAAATCCATTCCCCCTTTCCCAACTAAGCACCAG